AAATGAAATAAAATAAAAATCCACAGCCTAGCAGCCCATAAACCGCAGAGGCAAAGAGCTGCGCTGCCGGCGACAGTTCAACGACATGTTTATTAAGTCATACGCAAAAAACCAAAAAAAAAATCTGTTTTTTTTAGGCCCGCCTGGGACCAGACTTCGGGCCGGGTCTTAACTGTCTGAGAACCCGACGGCGAGATTTATGCGGCCGCACTCTATGAGATTACATAAATGGCCATTAAAATGTATGCTAATAAAAACAAGATATGTCCAACCAGACAAGCGCACAAATTATATAATTAAGAGACCCGCCAGAAAGGCAATAGGAGCGTTATAAATAGCACAGGCTCACATATATGTAACTCAAGCGTACAAGAAGTAGCTGATCTTGAGGGAAATAATTAACCATATTATAGAAACAATAATCGAGTAGTATAAATAGTATGGTAAATAGTATTAATTGCAAAGGATTTAAGGACCTTTAATGATAACACTGTGCAGCATTTTTAGTGCTTTTTAAATTTACCTCGATGGATGCTATATTTTTAAATTCGTTACGAATTCCCAAGTTAAACTGCGTTTTCCAAAAAGTTCCCCGACGCAAGGATTCTTAGCAAAAAGGACCTCAAAGTTCGAAAAATGCTGAAATTGGCCAACTTTGCGGAGCTCTCAGAGGCAAATGGATGCATGGCTTGGTTCGAAGTTAAAGTTTTTTAAAAGATACACCCTTTATCTTTTAAACCCTATACTTAAAAAATTTTTAAGATTTTGTTTAAGGCAGAAACAAATTCTAGAAAACATAGTCAAAAAACATAAAAGTATACAGCTGCGGTCAAAATGGTAGTAGTGTTGCCGCCCTGTGTATTTAAAAGTTTGTTGTTGTAATTGATCTTTTCCTGGTAATATTGTATTGATAATAATTTTACTATTAGACTAATTGGATAAGAAAAAATTACAACATCAAACTTTTAAAAACACAAGGCGGCAACACTGCTACTATTTTAACCGCAGTTGTATGTTTTTCAGTTTTTATTTGACTATGTTTTTTGGAATTTATTTCTGCCTTAAACAAAATCCTAAAATTATTTTATGTATGGGGTTCGAAAGATAAAGGGTGTATCTTTTAAAAAACTTTAACTTCGAACCAAGCCATGCATCCATTTGCCTCTGAGAGCTCCGCAAAGTTGGTCAATTTCAGCATTTTTCGAACTTTGAGGTCCTTTTGCTAAGAATCCTTGCGTCGGGGAACTTTTAGGAAAACGCAGTTTAACTTGGGAATTCGTAAGGAATCCAAAAATATAGCATTCATCGAGTTTAATTTTTGATGCTGCATAGTGTAATTTAACAGATTTGCCTTTTTTGTTTTAATCCTTTAAACTTATTTTAAATATTAAAATGGATTAATCAAATAGTATAAACATTACTTAGGATTAAAAACTTTTTCAAATACATTCGAAAGTTTTGTTTAAATTCTATAATATCATTTTTAATAAATTAATAGATTGATTTAATAATAAGGTACTAAGAATTTGAGGACATTAAATAATCATTTATTTTAAATAGATTTATCAAATAGAAAAGAGAGAAAAATATCTAAATAAATATATAAATAGATACATCAAGTAAAAAGTTACTAAGGACTTAAGAATATTTCATGATTATTGAATATTTTTATTAAATCTTTCAATCTTATAATATTTGAAATTAAATACTAGGGATTTAATGATTTTTATTGGTTTGTTTCACTTCAAACGACATTCTAGTTTAAATCTTTATAAACAAGAAAATATGTGTATACAATCTCGTTAAGATCTCTTCACACTTTAAATCGTTTGGCTTCTGTTGAAAGCCCATCGTTTTCGCATCCATCGACAGTTTTTCCCGCGGAACCTTTTGCGATCCGCGCTTGTAAATAAACAAAAATAAAAACAACAACGTGAATAGGGAGGCTTAAAGTGATATTGTGAAAAATTCGCTGTCCGCTTGTCGTCATCATCATCATCATCGCCCGCCAACGACAACAAAAACAAAAGCGCGGCCTCAAGCCGGCCGGCTATGCAAACGTAAATAATAACAACTGTAAAAAAGCATCACAATAATAATAATAATAATAACAATAACAACAAGGCAACGGCAGCGCCGATAAAAATAATAAACAAGGAACATAGTGAAATGCGAACGCTTTTTGAAATGCAAATCACGCGGCCAATTTGACAAATTAATTGAATCGCTTTTGTAAACAGAAATCGAATTTCAATTGCGAACGCCTCGGCTAATTTACTTGGGATACTGGGGATCTGGGGATCAGGAGGGGTGAGCTGGTGATGGCGATGTGCCTAATGGGATGTGATGATGAGAAGTGTCGAAAGGCGATGTTGAAAAAAGCACAAACGACAAATAGTATTCAATTAGGCGTTGTGTTTATGGAAAGCGAAATGGAAATGGAATTGGGAGGTGACAAATGTCAGATCGTAGAAACATATCAATTACTGAGGCCGCTGAAAGACGGATTGAACTGGGCGGGAATTAATTAATTCAATTGTTTATAAGGAACTGAATATTTATGGGATATGACCAATTTTAAATAAATTTTTCTCTTGATAAATATAAAGTAAACCTATTTTTTTAATTTTTTTTTTGTATTAAAGATGATAGCATCGTTTATAAAACTAATTAGTTGATAACTTTTTAATGCGCAATTTTTTAGTGTTGCTTAAAAGGCAGATGTTAAAAATTACCTTAATATTGGCTATATATCAGTAAAGTTATCTTATTTATTATTGTTTATTCATAAACATTTTCCTAGATACAAAATAAAATAAATACAAAATGTATTAGAATATATATTTATTTTTATCAGCATAACTTATATATTTTCCAAGATACAAAATAAATTAAATGCAAAATATATTCAAATGTATGTTTTATATAAACATTCGCCAATATAGTATCCCATTGCAGCCTGAAATCCCTGATATCTCGTAAAATGCACATCCTGTTGATGGCACTCATCACCGCACTCATAACCGTATAATTGAACCGATGCCCTCTAATTGAGTTGCCACTTGTGCGAACGTGCGATTCGGGGTTTGAGTGGCAGAACGGGATATCGGGATACATTTATGCGGCCGAAATAGATACAGATATCCTGTCCGTGCGGGAGAAAGGAGGCAGTTTTGCGACCCGAAGGCCATCGGGATCGGAATCGGGATGATGATTCCTGGAAGGTGCCGCAGGACAATAAAAAACACAAAAAGAGAGAGATTGGGAATTTGTTGTGAGGGCCCCTTACCGAACGGGAAAGAAAGGAAAAAAGAGGAGCGCAAAATGGCAGGACAATGGCAAAAAGTGGCCCTGCCACAAAAGGACTGCACAAATGCAGTTATCTTGCAAAATTGTCGATTTTGTGAGTTTGGAATTTTGGATATTCAATGCGTGGGAGCGAGACGGCCCAATGATGGGTTATTAAATGTTGTTAATCTTCTTTCTTTTTTTTTCGTTTTTGTCGGCCAGGCACATATTCAAATTTCATGTGCCCAGGAGCAGGTAGTACCGTTATGACCAGGCCAAAAACCAGGCCCGTTTGCCTGGCTGACTGGCTGCCTGTCTACTGGAATGCCCGACCGTCGAGCCCCTTGGCATTTGCCTTTATTGTGCACGCTGTTTAAATATTTACCGAGTTTTACAATATTTATGACAGCTAAAAACATAACAACACCTACTTACCCGAAAAGGGCTCAGAGCGAGGGAGAGGGGACACTTGACACTGGACTATGGACTATGGACTATGGCTAAGAGACCCGAATCCTAACCCAAACCCAAAAACCAAACCCTGCGAGCGGCTTAAAGTCTGGACTTCCTTCGATCGATTGCAATCAATAAACGGCTTAGGCGGCACTTATAATGCATGCAGAATATGTTTTCGCTCATCGTCTCGTGCTAATCCATTTGCATGTCAATAGTTATTCCATTCTATTCGATTCCATTCTTCTCCCCGTTCTTCTTTTCGGTCTGCTTTCTGCTTTCTGCTTCCGTTCCCTTTGCTAGCGCTAATAATCCGGCTGGACTTGGCCATAAGTTGCCACTAAGCGCCCTAAACGGAGCTTGGCAATAAGCCAAGGCATTAAAAAGTAAATTTGCCTAAATCCGCTTAAAACAAAGCGGGGATTTCTCTCAGTTTCTCAGTTTCTCAGACGGGAAACGGCGGGACAAGTGTAGCCGTGTTTTAGTTAACCCCGTGGCTAAGCGGCAGCTCATCTGTTCCTTGATCTTTGATCCCTGGCATCCGAGATCTGAGATCCTTTATCCTTGCAGCAGCGAACTAAGACCACTGATGATGGTGATTTAGCTTTATAGTGCTTTCATTGAGTGGTTCATTGAGCACAGTCCATTCATGCTAGAAATTCAGGTAGAAACAGGTGGGGATCGGTATAGGATCGTTATGCGATCGGTATAGTATCCAATATGGGAGCTGTACTAATAGTTTGACGCCGCTGGAGATCATAAAACCCACGATGACCCATGGGGGAGCCATAAACACGGGCAAACACAAAGTGCCAGGAAAGTGGGTCAAGGAAAACGGATTGATGGATGGATTCCCCAGGATATATGTACCATAAACTCGTTGGATTGACCTTATAAAATAGTTGATAAAAAATTTTTATATTCCACTTAAAGATATTTGCCCATTTAAATATGCCAAAAGAAGTACGAAAAATCAGTGGAAAAATACCATTTAAAATGTCCTTTAAAGATCGTATAAAATACATCAAAAATTATTTGTAATTCTTAAATATAGTTATTGAATATTTTTTTCAAAAAATCCCAGGCATTTTCAAATAATTCAAAAACATAATCAGACAAACAATTAAAAACCCATATAAAGTTCGTATAGTTAGGGAATTTTTCCAAAAACTCCCAGGCATTTCCAAAAAAACACAATCCAGTTTCATTTTCAGATTCAATTCAGTTTTATTGTTTATCGCTTTATTTCGCTACTGTCTTAGTCATATATCGGTCGGTTCTATATAAATACGAAAATCGATTTCTAAGGGCGAGCTTAGGCCTACGAAAGCATATGGGTGCAGTGGTAAACATGATCTCTATATATACAATTAGGTTAAATACGAACTAGTCAAGCACTATATCACAGATGTCGAAAACACAAGCTAGCCTACGAAAAAAAAGATGTGTGTGTGTGTGCCTTAAGACTAAAACCTATCCTAGGGGCTATGGTTATGTTAGGGTTATGATGTTAGCCTACTAAAAGGTCACATAAAATTCAGGGGGCTTGATGTGTTAAATAATACTTTCCATTGGATATACATAGATATATATATATATATATATTTATATACTGCTAGGGTGATTGGCGGTTGCTCTTATGTGACTAGAACGGCAACTGCGGTTGGTTTTTCTTTTCAATAAATACGGAATGTGGTTGGTAATACTTGCAATGAAATTGAGAAGAGAGAGAGAGAGTCTGTGCTGGCAATCAAATAATTTACTTAAGCTACAATCAATTAACGGTTAAATTAAGGGGGCAAGGGGCGGGACAGGGCTAAGGGGCGTGTCCTGAGGGGGAGGGATTCTTTTTAATATATATGGTAGTTTCACGTGCGCTGCACGCGTCTCGACTGCCGCTTGCCACGTCTGCCAGCTGCACCACCTGCAACTGCACCACCTGCCGCCGCCGGCTTGGACACCTCGTTGAACTCCTTGCCATTCTGAAAGGCCGAGCTCCGCCAGCGCTGCTGCTCCAGTTGCTCCACCACCATTTGATGTTGTTTCTTCTGGTGATTCTTCTTCTGGCTCTTGGGCTTCTTGTGCTGCTTCCGCGGACGACGACTCTTCCCCACCCGCTTGCCATCCCGCCGCAGCAGCTGGTACATGGTGCGCAGGAAGTCGTAGTAGTGATGCTTCACGAAGCGCATATCAATCGAGTCCGCCTCGCCAGATGAGGAGGCTGACGTCGGCATGGAGGATGCACTGCCTCCCTGGTGGCCACCGTCGCCGGCTGTCTTGGTGCGCAGCTTCAAACGCTTGTTCATCTCGAGCCGTGAAATTTGCGGCAGCTGAAGCTGCTGAGTGGCAACCGCAGCGCCACTGCGCCGCTGCTTCTGGAGACGCGGACTCTGCGTCTGGTTGACGGCCGTCTCCAGCTCGCAGAGGATTCGACGCGAGCTCAAAAGCAGCTCGCGCAGCTCGCGGGCGGTGCTCGACTCGCGGGTGATGGACCGCTGGTCCCAGCGGATCTGCTGGCGCCTCAAGTACGCGAAGCTGGCCACGTACGTTTGCATGTTGCGGTACCAGCGCTTCAGGGCAATCTGTGGGTTAAAAACAGGAAAAATACAAAAAAATAAAGGTTAATCAAAAATGTTGTCAGAAAGAGCTTAAAAAAAACATCTATATATTAAATAGATTTTCTGTAGGTATGAATCAATAGTTAGTACACTCAGTAAACCGAATTAGCCAAAAAGTTTGAAAAGGTACCCCAAGTTTAGAAGTTATGCACTAAAATATGAGGCCTATATTTTTAAAAAACTTTATGCAAAATGTGGTTCCAAGTGAATCAATATAATATATTTATAAATCTCATGCTTAAGGCTTATATTTCTAATATTTGCGTAATTTTTAGTTAAAAACTATTTTTTTTTTATTTTAAGGCTTTTAACTTACCGTGGAATTGGGCTTGAGCTTGGGCAGGAACTTGTAGTTGTGCGTGTGCAGCGACCACATGGTCATGTTGCGGATATCGATGGCCGAGTCCTGGCTGCTGTTCAGGCTGCGGTACTCCCTAAAGGCGTGGCGCTTCAGCTGATTGAAGCTCTAAGGGTTGAAGAAGATAGAAAATGTTTGTGGGTTAAATATCATGTTTTTCAGGGCTTTCCAAAAGGGATAGTGTCGAACACTCACCTGCCTGGGCCGCTGGCGATTGAAGCGTTCTGCCGCCGCGGGATGATAGTTGCCCCCACAGGGATTGGCCCACTCCAGGGCCGTCGTGTTCTCGTCGAAATTGCGATAGTCGATCCAATTGCTGTTCCGCTTCCGGTGGCGCTTGCGAGGACTTAAAATGGAGCTACTAGCCGGGATGGCTGGCTGACTGGCATTCGAATTAGAGCTCAAATTCGAAACAGTGCGAATCTGGGTGAGACCGCCGCTGCTGGTGGTGCTGCGCCCCTGGGCCAAGTGGGGCAAATGGGCGGCGGTTAGGAGGAGCAGGAGGGCGGGCAGGAGCAGTGGACGAGCCATCGCCATCGCATGGTAACCTCTCCTTCTTCCTCTTCCACTGGCGTTTCCGTTTCCGTTGCCTTTGACCGCCGTGTTGCTGCCTTTAGCTGTGGTCGCAGCGTACTGCCAACCAACTGCTGTCCGTTCGATGTCCGTAATTCGCAATCAGTACACAAAACAGATGGATAATGGGCCAAAAAAAAAGGAAGAGATATGTGGGGATAGGCGAGAAAGAGAGAGAGAGAGAGAGATATGGGAGACACAAAATGAGTATCGAGAATGCAAAAGTAAATTCAACTGAGCAGATTTCAGCATCAACGCGAGACGATCAACGATCTGCGACTACGATTCCTTCTCCTCCTTCACAACGATTCAATTCTATTCAATTCAATATGCGATTCAATTCCGACAGACTAGGTGGGTTTGGTGGATTTGGCTGGACTCCTGATTGTGGTGGAGGTGGGTTCTCAGGGGGTTGGATGATTGGATGGCTGGATGATTTGATGACTGGATGATAGTGCCGAGCCGAAGAAACTCCTTCAATGCGATGGCAAATGCAACCGGACAACAGTCTGAACAATTTGGTTCGCTTTTTTTAACATTTTCTCTGCGTTTGTTTTGCTGCTTTTTTTTCGCTTTTCGTTGTTTTTGTCTTTTCCAGGGCGAGATATATATGTGTGTGTGTCGGGGGCGGGGGAAACTTGTTAATTTAGACAATTAACTCGAGAGTAGCCTGAGCGAATACTGAAGATCAATGGGATGGGTTCTAATCCTTTGCCAGTCCTTCGCTTCTGCTTGTGAGAAAAGTGTGTGTGGGAACTTTGATGTCGAATTTTGGATTTTGAGCTAATTCTGAATTTTCAAATATTTATGCTAGCTATTTTTGATTATCGGCAACACACTCAATGCTTGTTTAAACTGTAGATTTACTAAACTATTAATCCATCTAAAATTTCTCCTTAAGATCGCTGATCGTTCGCCGTTGCTAAATCAGTTGAAGAGTGTAGAATCGATTGGCTCATGAAATATCCGTTTCGATGTCCTTTCTGCACTCTTCACCTGAGTTAGCTGCTCTTAGGTTTTTTGGATCAAATTAAAAATAATACACACACCGCATTATAGTTGAAAAGTAGAGTTGGCCAGGATCCTAGGATGATCCTCGTTGTTTGTGCTGCGTCCTGCGTTAATCCAAATTGGGCGATCGATAAGTTATTTTCTCTTTTCCGGCACTTGCAACACAACACTCGCAAAAAATAAAGAAAACTGTATGTATGTATGCTATATGGGGGCCGACCAATTGACGATCTGTTCTGGGATCTTTTTTCAGATTCTGTTTGCTTTTAGACTGATTCGCGGACACTTCTGCTCGCGTCCGAGTGTGAAACCGAACTGAGCCCAAAGTCGCGCTGGATTTGACCAGCTTTCTTCGCTGAGAGGCTGAGGCTGCGGCAGCGGCTGCGGATACCAGATACCAAGATACCAGAGCGTTACCGACCGACCGATGAGCAGCGCCAAAAGGCCGAAACCGAAACTGAAATGGAAACCGAGGCGAGCTGAGCGGCCTCTGCTGCCTCTGCCGCTGCGCTGCCCGCCGATTGCCGAGCGGTACGCCATGGTCCGAGCCAAAAGAAGACCGCCGATGCTGAAGCCGATGCCGAATAAACGATGCCGATGCCGATGACGATTCGAACCGAAGATCGTTTCAGGCTCTGTCCCTTTCCCTCTCCCTCGCCCGATCGGTATCCTCGCGATGCGCAGGTGTGCGTGCCTGCCTACCTAGGCACATATACATATACCTGGTCCTCTCTCGCCATCCCTCTTGCTCCTGCTGACCGAAATGATCTTGGCCCGGTCGCCATTGCGACACGAATTTCCCACTTGCCCAATCCGCGTCACTCACTCAAAGAGCCAGAGAGAGAGAGAGAGAGGGAGAGGGAGAGCGGAGAGAGGAGAGAGAGAGCCTACCTGGGCCCCAAAAGGCGCTGCCTACCTGCCTCCGTCTCGCTCTTACATCTGTCTTCTCCCTCGCACTCGCTCTTTCTTTGCCAGCCTTCGATGACCTTGAGCTCACACTGCTCACCCCTCCGAAAATGTCCTAATGTCCTGACAATCCAATCGGCCCACAAAGTGATCAACGGAAATGACCAACATAACACCACATTCCCCGCCAATTCAGGTAAGATATTTCAGCTTTCTTCGAGAACTATCGATATGGAACATTAGCTTCATCGTTTACTCAAGAAATATTTATATTCCATTTAAAACTATATCATCTACAATGCATTCTTCTTTGTAAACATAATTTGTTTAAGCCCACTTTTACACATGTAAACACCAACCAATAAAGCATTAAATAGGTCGATATAAAACAATTACCGTTTTAGATTAAAAAAAAATATTTTATAATATCCAAGCACGTATTTTTTTATATTTTTCACTAAAATATTTATAGTAATAATAGGAAAATGATCATACTTTTTGTATACAACTCAAAACCCTTTAAAAAGTATGCTAATCAATCAGAGAAATATATATTAAGGAAATACCTATAATGTTTGCTCCTTGTTCGAAAGTTTAATGGTCTAGTTAATATATTACAATTATTATTTCTCTATTTATCTACTGCAGTTAATGTGTAAACGAGTAAATGTAAAATCAGTACGATCTTAAGATTAAGAACCTATAAAATATAATTAAAATCGATCCTCCAAAAAACGGTTAGTTTACGACTTAAGTATTATCAGAAGATCGAAATATGCATTTCATATAAACATAACTTAATTTTAATAAACAATTATAATCAAATATTTTCTTACTTAATTTAAGTTTTTAAATAAATTTTGAATATTTAATATTTGACTATCTCGGTCAGCTTCTCTCTAGAGTGTTCCAATTCACGGTTGGGGTGTGAAACCTTTATAGAAGCCCGCCCAGTGGGCCAGGTACCCCCGAATCCGTATCCCTACTACCTGGTCATCTCGATTTCTCCCTATTTTCGAGGGCTTGCACAATTGACGGCCTAATTAAATCGAGAGTTTTTGCTGCAGCGCATGGAATTATGGCCTCATTGTTTTGAGCAGCGCAAAAACAGCTGTAGATGATGGCCAGATAGTTAGATAGCCAGATAGCGGGCTCAAAAAGGGCCAAAAGGACAACGGGCAACGGACAGCGGACAACGTAGGGCCTTGCGTCTAACCGTAAGTGCAGCGTGCAGCAACTGCAGCAGGAAGCAGTTGTGTTGCGCAGCGGGGCCACTCGCCTTGATTTCGCCGCGAGGCAGGGCTCACAGGACTCACAGGACTCAAACAGGACGCACACAGGACCCACAACAACCCACAGAGAGGGACTCGCACATCGCACATATATCAAGGTGGCAGCACACACCTTTTGTGCCTCGCTCCTTTGGGAAACGGGCGGCAAAAAACAAATATCCAAGTTGGAATCTTAATTTTAAAATCTGAATCCCCGACGCAGGCAATTCGCACCCGGAGCAACAGCTTCATCCAGGCTGTCTTATGGGTATATATCTCTATATAGACACGATTATTGCATTGATGAGCTCCTGCTGCTGCTGTCGGTACACAGACGAACACAGGATTCCCGGCGGGAGGCCATACCCCCACCCCCTACCCCCTTACCCCTCCCCTAGTCGACTTTCTGTTTTACTTGCGATTCGTTCTGGACAACAAAAATATTTTGCTACAAAATTGAGCTGTCCTGTGAGGTCCGTCTGAATGCATTGTGTCCTGTCATGGTGTAATTTTTTAGCGGCGTAGCGAATGCCTAAGGATACGCTTTAATTGCCGCAGCGAACACCTCGACCTCGAGAAGGAAGGTTAACCGAGTGGTACAAGATACAAGATACAAGATACAAGGTACAAGCCAAGGAGGAGAGAACCATCCGTCATTACACGCTGCTTAGCTCCTGTCCCTTTCACAGGACCTGATCCTGGCGATCTGCCTACCTACCCTCCTGTTTTTCGTACTTTTTCCTGTGGGTGTGCATATGGGAAGACGAAGAACGAGGAGGAGGACGAAGGAGGAGGTGTGAGTTTCTCATCTCGTCTCGCTTCCCCTACCGCTTTCAGTTGTTTTGATGTTTTTTGATTATGCGTAAAATCGGCCGCTTTATCAAGATCTCCAGCGGCAATTTGAACATGCCGAAACGGTAACTTAAACGGTTAGTTAGTCGATTTGCCTGTTTATTTGTTTGTTTACCTCCAATCCTCAATTGCCGTTGCAATTGGCATTCGTTATGGACTTTATCTGGAATGGTAGGGTTTGATTGAGGAAGTCTTCAGCCGGTCTTAACCCTTTGAAGTTCATTTGCTGTATTGGCCATTTAATTGTAGGGTCGCTAAATAAAAAGGGGTCTACTTTATAGTAAATCGTATAAAACAATAGTGAAAATACAGTTATATGCATTAAAATTGCGATTTTTTAGTTATTTTTAAGTTGTATTTGGCTTTTAGGGACTTCCATTTTATAAACGACTTTTGGGTTTCAAAAGTTCGAAACCCAACCTACAAAAACAAAATTTAAAAAAAACTCGGCGAAAAAAACGTAAATTATTAAAAACAAGAGAGAACGCTATAGTCGGGTGCCCCGACTATCAGATACCCGTTACTTAGAATAAAATAATATTGTGCGAAAAATTTCTTTTACATTTCGATAGGTATAAATAAACACAAAAAAATAAATACATTAATACTTCTCCGAAATCTTTAAAAATGTGGGCGCCAGACACACTTTAAAATCGTTTGTGGGCGTTAGAGGGGGCGTGGCGCTTGGATGAAATAAACTTGCGCTGCGGAGGAAGCCCAAGAAGATGTGTGGCAAATCCCAACTTTCTAGCTTTTGTAGTATCAGAGATCTCAGCGTTCATACAGACAGACAGACAAACAGACAAACGGGTATAATAAATAACTTCTTGAGGTGGGAGGTGATATTTAGCTTGTTCAGCTTGTTCAAACTTTCCTTCCTGATAGGAGGAACATGTGTGTCTAGCAAAAATAATATTGTTTGCTCTTCGCGATATAGTGAATCTCACTCTGTAAGTAAGATAAGAAGTTCCCATAAAATTGTAATATATGTAGGCAAATTAATATTCTTAGTCACAGCCAGCCTGTCAAACTTAAGTAAATCAAATATAAATCAAAGTTATTAAAGAAACTTTTAATTTATTTTTACTTAGTTTGTTAAGACTTTTAAGCCATAGCCATGTTTCACGCTAACTAGCTATTATTAATATCAAATGAAACACATATTCAAAATCAACTATTTCTCGAATGGAAGAATTTAAGCTACTTTATTGGTAATATTTTTTTGCTTAGCATATTTATCTGGTAATCCTTACAAATCCTTAAAACCAAATCATTTTGGCCTGCTGCTTCCATCTTAAAAACAACAAAGATATACAAATTTATTTACTGGCCAAGGAATTAGTTGACCTGATAAGCGGATTATAATAAATCCTTTAAGAAATATTCCACTTTTGAATGGTAAACCGAATTAAAAGCCTTTAAACAAAAGGGCGTTTAATTAATCCGCACGTTTGCATGTGGGCATTGTGGTTCCTTAATTAAATTTTCAATTAAGTGGTGGTCAAGTGGGCAATTAGGGAGGCTGAGGGGGCTCGGGGGCAGGGGGCGTGGCTCCGAGCTGCCTGACTGCGCACTTGTGTGGGTGGCATTCGTACGTAGCCCCGTATCGGTGTGTGCCCCTCCGTGGGTGTGTGTGTGCGAGGGGGCCGCCGCTGATTGGCCCGCCGCCCGCTGAGCGTCACTCCGAAGACGAGCGGCCACGAAGCGGACTGGCCAATGGCGGTGCCGCCAAAAACGCTCCAAAAGAGCGCGAGAGGGAGAGCGAGAGAGTGGGCCAGAGAGCGACGAGTCGAGTGGAAGAGTGCAAGAAGAGAGCAACGGCAACGGCAACCTGTTGTTGCGAGCGAGAGAGAGAGAGCGTGCGGTGAGAAGATAACAGGTTGTCGAGCGGAACGGTGCTGTGTGTGTGGATATGCGGTTATGGATTTTCATTCATAAACTCAGCCCGCTGCAGCAGAGCAGAGGAGCTGACTCAATTCTTGCCGCTGGGGAATTTACAGCAAAAGCAACAGCGACTGACGCCATTGCCATCTTAAATCTTAAGTCTTAAATCTCAAATCTGAAATCCAAAATCTCAAATCCCAAGTCCAAAATCCCTCCATCTTTGATCGCTCATCAGATCTTATTACCGAAAAAAAAAAAAAAAAAAAAAATGGGGAAGCCTGCGAAGTGGCAACGGTAATTTTAGTCCCTCAAACCCTTGAACCCCTAAAACCCCACCCTCGTAAGCAACACAATACCCCTGCTGACTACACACACATATATTCAGATACTATATAGATAGCAGTATTACCTTCGTCACACGCAGAGATCACGCGACGATTTGCCCGACATTTTGCCTAATGGTCCATGAGTCACTAGCTGGCTTGCGGTACTTGGGGTTTTCTCCCAGCCCACGGAATGCGAGTGAAAAACCTCGTGTAGTAAATATCTAGCGGAACGTGCCCCGGGCACGAGCTATAAACCCAATGCTTGTGGGGTGGGTCAGGGTTGGTGACGAGTCGGGCCGAAAATGGAATCATTTCCCCGGAATCGGTCACCGAGAATTTCCGATATGGCCGATAGGTGGCCTAAAAGTATCTGAGATCATACAACAATTCTACTTATGTAAAGGTAATCGATCAAAGAAACATTAGAATAAACCTTCAATGAATGACGAAACAACCAACTATCCTGATCCCATTAAAAACGCTTTTGCAAATGCGCATAATCGGTATAATTTATTAATAGTCACAGTATATCCAATGACTTTCTATATATATATAAAAAAAATATACTTAAGTAATAGTTTTCATAAGTTATCGAGCCTGCGAGGCGGTGAATGTGTTGTGTGAGTATGGTGATATGTATATAAATAGGATGCGAAAGCGATATAAATACGAAGGGATGGGGTGGGGGTATAATAAGTTAAAATAAATAATAGGGTCTAAGGCAGAGGGATATACGAATACGTGGGCGTAGCCTAGCAGCTTGAGATTGCAGTGGGTCATCGGAGGCGATTAGTTCATTTTTGGTATGGCTTGTTGCTTCTTCTGGACTCTCGACTTTTGACTTTCGACTTTCGATTTTCGACTTTCGATTACGAGAGTAGCCTGAGCAGCTCCTGGTACTTGTGCACCACGACGGTCAGCACCCGAATGCTCTCCAATGCGGCGAATGCTTCCATTCTGGGATGCGTCTCATTATACTCGGAGTGGCCCGGATTGCAGGCATCCGTGCGGCGAACCACTCTCAATGCCTCGTGGACGTTGTGATAGAAGAAGTCCGGGAAGTTGTTGAAGTAGCAGTGCCAGGATTTGTGCTCGAATCGCACCTTGTCGAAGAACTGCACCATCACCAGCAGGGTCTCGATAATGGCGGGGATCTCCTCCTTCAAGTCGGTCACCTCCTTGGCCCCCGTGTACTCGAACTTGTCCGTCTCGTTGTTGTAGTGAACCTTTTTCACCTCAGCCTCCAGAGGATGTTGCAGGTACTGAATGTGCCACGAATACTTTTTCACAAAATCTTTCAGCGTGTCCTTTTGGATGTTTTCCATCTGTTTTGGAAGCGGAAAGCTTAGTTCTGGCGTTCTACACTCCTTCGATTCGATTGACTTACCCATTCTTTGGTCAGACAGATGGCAGCCTCCCGCGTTTCGCTGGCCACCTGAAGAGCCGATGTGAGATTTTGGATTAGTTCGTCATGGGGTTCCATATCCATATCCATTTTTCTCGAGCAACTCTGCCTGCCGTCAGTCTGATTTACTTGCAAGGCTCGTACCACAACTTTGTCCGTCTCCGTCGATCTGGCGTGCTGATGATGATGATTATGATGGCGGTGCGGCAGGATCAGGCTCAATCCTCGTGCTCGTCGGGGAGCCGCTGTGGTGCCCGTGGGCCAGCTGGTGGCAATGGTCAGTAGCAGCAGGATGCCCAGGAGCCAGCACTTCGAAGGAGCTAAAAGGATAAGAGATGGGCAAGGTGAGTATATTGTAATAATTATTTTTCTAACATTTTTATTAATCTGGGGTGGTAAATAAGCACTTCCTCTGTTTGCTTAGCGGTGACACAGATACAGGAGATACCGGCGCAGATATCGGGGCAGATATAGAGCGGCTTTATAGCGGACATGATTCAGAGATTTGGAGATTCGTAGGCACTTACACATTCGCCCGAAACTGGAGAACAGGTTGATTTGGTTTGGTTGGTTTGCCTGTTGACTGCAGGACTTTGTCGCCGTGTTGGGTTGCAATCGCTCGGAGGTTTCACTGGGATTGATGGCCATTTTCACTGTTTCTTGTTTCTTTTTCAGACTTTTTAAGAGCTATATATTGCTTTGAGACACTCGGATTGCTTGCTTTTAGGGCTTTTCTTTTATTTTAAGTTAGAGACTTGAGAGCTGGCGTCTGGGCTCTGCGAGATCTTATGGTTAATGAGGAGTTGGGGCACACGCCGGGCCATTTAAATAGCGGCCTGAGCGATATCAGCAGCCGAAGCCGCACGAGCGGCGCAGCGCGTGGCCGAGCTTACTTTTTTTTGTACGCACACACACGCGAGTGGCGGCGAGTGCGATATTCCGAATAGCAAGTGCTCCCGAGTACTTTGTAGCAACAACAACAAAAGCAGCATCAACGCCGATCGCTCGTCAATTGGGCGTTTGACGCGTGCTTATGATAAAATTTGAGAAAAAAAATCTCATATATTATATTATAACTCGCTCTCTCTGTCTCTTTTTTTTTTGGAGTTCTTATGCGATTTACCAGGAATGGTAATTGGTATGGGGGCTCTCTGACTCAGACTGGGAATAGATATTCCCTGGCCATCAGTCAGTATTGTTTTCTTCCTGTCTCACTGAAAGTGAGTTGCCTCCTACAACTCCACCACCCACTGTAATTTATGCACACATGCTTCATGGCCCAAAACGGATGTCACATTGAATTCTTGTGCCCTACACCAAGTGGTAGGGCCTACTGAGTTCTCAACTGACTGGAATCGCGATATAAAGTCAGTCTTTAGCTTTGAGATCCTAAGATCTTAAGTTTTTGATTTATTGGTTAGGAAAAGTCCTTTTTTGGAAACTATTTTTGTAGTTAACAAGATCCTAAGATCTTCATAGGATGTGAATGTGCTTTAATCGCCTCTACTTTGGAGCCTCAAATATCTCGGTTGCGGCTTCACTTCAGATACTTCAGTTACTTTAAATTTAAATTGCCTTGCAAATGACGCGTCGTTCCGTAGGCATTTCCGATCGATCGCTTGGCACGTGCGCGGCTTGAACACTGAATGAACATGGGAATAGAAACGACCTGGCCAAATGGACTTCAGCCAAATGCAGCCAGTATAAGAGTTAGTAGACAGGTTGTCTCTTCTATGCCGCTCATTCCAAGCCAATCCAATTACAATTACAATTACATACGCGATTGTAATGCATCGTAATATACTCCCAAGGAGTTACTCATGCTGGGAATCGAACTTAAATTTGAAAATTCTGACGCTCTGATTGCTTGACGTACGTCCAAGTGGGCTACTTACTCACTGGCCCACTTCTCCAGGGACTCGCCTACCGAGAAAACGCCGCCGAATTCCCTGCGCAATTCGGAGTTCCGATTCAGGCATACTTTTCAACTTCCGTTAAATGTTTTATAGTTGGGCAAATCCTCGGGCGGTTCTGGGAAAAGCTGGAAAACGTATGCAAGGGTTTTTTACTGTTGCCAGCTTGCTTCCCTGTTTCTTTTCCTTTCCTTTATTTTACTAGATTTTATTTCACTTGATTTTGTTTCACTTGTGGCTTGTTGACTGTTAATTATCGCACTCGCGTAGGTGCTAACTCTGGCCACGCACAAATCGAAATTTTTGCAACGTCAGCCGGTTCGAGGGAGATCCGCTATCTTTCGTTCCTGTTTGCCATTCCCCATTTAGAAATGACCATCCATTGATGAGTGCTTCCAGAGTGACGTACATCCAGCGTACATCCATCGTAGTCAATAGCAAACAGCTATAAAAAGGCACTGGGTTACAGTTACAGAGGAACGGAACCGAACGGAAACATCGGTCACTTTTTTTATCTCCATAAAGAACCGCGAGAGCTCCAAGGTCCAAGATCCAGCCATCAAGTGTGTGGCAAATGTATATCCATTATGTCCGATATGATAACTACTATCTGATCCCCACATCCGAGGCACACGCGACCGGATGTGACGTCGCCTGGAAGCTATATTTATTTCCCGCCACTCTGAGAAGCCCCATTGATAAGTAAGTCAGTAAATCAGGAGCAGTGAAAGCCCGGGGGTATTATCATTAGTTCTAGATTTGTATAGAGATTGTAGATTGTAGTACGGTTTCTATTCATCAATTATACATTTATAGATTATATTATATCTCTGATGTCCAATTTTTTGGTACTTGAGATCTGCAATAAATTCGCTTTATGTTCTTGAGGCTCCGCAGGTCGGCTTTCAGAGATTTTTGGGACTTTTCCAAATGAGTTGAATTAGTTTTATTGATCATTACTTTCTCGTTTGACACCACAAAGTGTTGCGAGTTCGGAAAGTATTCCATTTCGAGAGCCAGAATTCCCACTGCCACAAGATTCCAGCTAACTGATAATTGTGTCGGAAAGTCCGCATCGTATCTCCAGTTCAAAGTACGGGAAGTGAATCAGGGTGTTTAAGACCAAGTCCTTTAATAGGGCTTTCCATTCGTATTCCTATGCCTCCATTGCCCTTGACCAACTAAAAACGGGCGGTGACGTAAAGTCAGAATACAGAATCTAGAATCCAGCTATGAGGAAATACCCCAATCTCGAGAGTCGATCGTCGATTGTCGATTGTCGTCACCTGCCATTTGGGGAGTGGGCCGAAACCGAAACTGACCACAGACACTCTGGCCGACTTGATTACCGATGGGTAAATCACCGAGAACTCCAATGCTCCATTGCTCCGTATTTGCTTTAGTGTTTAGAAGCTGCCGCTGCCGCCGACTCTCTAGCTTTCCAGGTCTCTAGATCTCTAGATCTGTGGATCTCCAGCTCTCCGGCTTGCCGCGTCATCTACCAGGTCGTATCGAATCGGATGTCGAATATCGAATCTCTGGGCACACTCACTTGTTTGCCCAGCGCATTATATTATGAATGGGCCGCTGTGGGAAGCACTTGGGCTTCGCGTACCGCCTAGCAAAGTACAGAGCAACTAAACAAGGGGCTCGGACGACAGGTGAGAGAAGTGGCTATTTTTGGCACTGGCCCTCTTCCACAAGTCATCATCGAGGTGCGAGCTGTGACGCACTTGGGGTTCCCTGAACCTGGTTCCTGTTACCATGTTACCATGTTACCTTACCTTAGTCAGGTGTGCATATTAAGTATACGCCATATCAAGTATACGTAACTTCATTTAGAACTCACCTTAGTTTTTGTCACGTGATCTCTGGGTTGAATCAAAAACGGCAGTGGGCTAAAATGAATAAATAAAAGGGATATCATTAGTTTCAAGGTCAAAACGAACTGGGAGTTGGGCAAACTTTGATTTTCCCTCCACCCACGCAGGCTGCCCCAAAAGTAGGCTAGGTTTGGGGAAAAAGCTTTTTTGTAAAAGCTTCGAAAAGCTGGGAAATCTTTGTGGCCTGCTTTTAGGCGCCTTCACTAACAGTCGCTTCCCCACTTCATAGTCCACTACAAATATTTGAGATTTTACCCAGAGAGATGGAAATGCTGCCGTTTCTTTGACCGATCTTTCCGCCCCTCTGCCCTTTTCTTCTCCCGAATTCTTTCGTTGGCTTGATTTATTTGTGGGACTCTGCAAGAAATGGGCTGGCAACAAGCCACCATGTTGTGGGTCATTCCCGAAAACGTTCATCTCGCTCTTGAGTAGTAAAAAATATAATCTAACCACCTTGAGTTCGTTGTAAGATTTCCAATCGATTAGCGTTCAAATCTAGAAACATACAATTTTTACGATTAAAAAAAAAATAATGGCCATCCCCTATAAGAAATGCAAAAATATGCATTGAATATTAACGAAATTGTTATGGATCGGCTTATTTAGGTGGGAAACCTATTTCAACAGAATTACGATGAAAAATGCAGAAAATCCCTGCATTATGCTTACTTTTACAGAATCTAAGATCTTAGTATCTTAAGTAATTGCTGGTTGATTTGATTTTTCCCTGGGTTTTTTAAGAAATCAATTAGATATTTTCCCCTGCAACTGCCCAACCATATTTTTCTATTTAACCGACGAGTTTCTCCGATGAATGTAAAGTTCTGGCGAAGTGGCCCACTTTCGGCTGCACACATTATAACTAAGGAAAACAATCAAAATCACGTTTCGCTGGCTAAATGAATCTAGAATGCCCCCGCCGCTATGCGCTTCTCTCTCGTTCTCCCCGATGTTTGCCGCTTGCACACGCGCTCTTTCTCTTTCTGTTTCTCTGTAACCTCTCTCTGTCTAACCCAACACCCATGCCTTTATGACTGTTTGAGATCTTCGGATCGGAGCAGTTTCCCATTCGTTTCCCATTGTTTACTCACCTTTTTGATGGTGGACAGATGTGATGACGGGCGTCACGCTATTAATGCTATTGCCGCGGGCGTTCGTTTCAGGTAAACCCACGTTAATTACGGGCCGCAAGAAATTCACGAAAAATCCCCGAACTTTGAAAACTTTTGAACACCGCCAAACGCCAAACGCCAAACACACGACAAAAACAGGTAAGGTAAAAGGGCCTAATTAGGCGGCTAAAAAGAAAAAGCACGGACGCAGCAGAACCGGCGAGGTCGAATGATGAAGCTAAACTGAGGTAAACTGAGGCAAACCGAACAGAATCGACAGCTGGAGGAGCTGAAAAAAGGCAGCGATGGTCGACAGCAGAGGAACTGCGATTTTGTTTAACTAATGCAACCCCAAAGTCCGCCTTGCAATCCAATTTACTTGTCATGGAAGTTCTCAGGGATCACGGGACTTTATTGGAACAATAGATTATTCCGAAATAACTTGGAATCTGCGAAATGCCATTGATCTATGCAAATGATCTGTTTATTTTTCACTGAGTGGGAAAAACCATAAAATAGATTTTCTAGTATTCTAATCTGCACACTTGAAGGGGACATGACTGTATATTGGTTGGTGTCTAAGCTACCGCAAGGGTTTGGCAACTGGCTAAAAGTTAAAGGTTTGAGTGTGGGCTAAGCTTTCATTGAAAATCAAATTAGAATTATAATAAACTATTTATAACATTTTTAAATGTAAAAATAAAAATATAGAAAGCTAGCCAGAAAACCCAAAAAAAACACGCAGCTAGATAAAAAATTAAAAAATAAAATCACCATTACAGATGCTTTGGAAACACCTATTTAGATTACACATAATGGGTAATTAGGCAAATACGGTTTGCCCTTTGTGCATAATTGCTTGTCCCCCGTGGCAACAATGCGATGACAATGGAAGCTGTACAGCTGATTAGCCAGCCACAGTTTGTGGCCCTGCCTTTGTTACCTGGTGTCCACTCCACTCCATTCCACTCCACTCCGCCACTGGGACCATCGAATGCAGCTTTCGAATTTCACGCTTGACATGCGGCCAACCTTGGCTGCCAGTAGGCTTCTGCAGCTCAAAGCCATTACGAGCCCAACTAACCACCCACCAATGCCACCAGCCAACACCCACCGAATCCACCTGGAGGGAACACCCTGGCAGAAGGCATGCAAAATCGTCATGATAAACGAACCTGAACGAATCTAAAAAAATAAGAAGATTTATGAAAATCATTCAGGCCCTTTTTAAAAAAGTTGGGAATAGCAACTACACTTTTTTCGTTACTCTTTGTATTCCAATCAACTTTAAAATGAATTTCTAGTAATAAGTAAGAGTAAGGATTAAGTAAGGGCTATTTGAAACTTGTTGTATACATTTTTTGGACCTCTGAACTTAAGTCATACAAAAAAGATTTGAAATTTGAACAACATTTAACAAATGTTAGCCACTCTGAAAATCAGCGTCATTATACCATTCAGAAAGTTTAACATTTTAACTTTAGCTTAACTTGTCGTTAACATTTAAATTGTATTCTTTGTATTCAAATAAAATGAATACTGCAAGTGATATGAATTTTTAGTAATAAGTAAGAGTGAGGGCTAAGAAACGGTTATTTAAAACTGGTTGTATTTATTTTTTGGACCTCTGAACTTTGGTCATAAAAAAGTACATCTTAAATTTGAACAACATTTAAAAAATGTTAACCACTCTGAAAATCAGTTCCATTCTAAAATTTTAACTATTTAACTTGAGCTTGACTTGTCGTTAACCAGAGGTTATAAAATTATTTTGTAAAATAGGTAAATAATTGATTAAAAATGTGTTATAATAAATACACCTACAAATTGTAGAACAAATTAATGCAGAGATTTTCTGAGTGAAAAGTATAGGGTATTCACATGTTCGTTGATCCATTGGGCGCCGGATTCCCGAACCACTTGGCTGGGGAGGCTTGGCGAATGCTGATGCTGATGTGGGCCCCGCTGGCTGTTTGGCCAGTCAAGCGTTGCATAAAGCGCATTAACATTTAATGCCTGCCCCACCTGGACAGGTGTGTGTGTGTGTGTACATCCTGCCGAATTTCCGTTGCATACTTGAAGGCGCTGGCCGAAGCAGAAGAGATGATGAGATGAGGTGGGTTCGATGGATGGATGGATGGATGTTTGATTTATGACTGGCTGCCGCTGGGCAGGAGCAGGAGCAGGAGCAGGACTCTCGGTGGATCAGTGGACTGGTTCCGGGGACTCGTCGGTTCGCCGGCTGGGTGCACTTGGCACATTTTAGCGATGCCCCGCAGGCCTCTTGCGCTGCCATCAATCATGACAGCCCCTTCAACCCCTTAAACCCTTCCAAAAACTCCAAAAACTAAAGTGGCAGCAATCTGTACACATAAACTATTTATTTCCGTATATATATATATTCCATATGTATATATAGATGTATATGGGTGTATATTTAGCTGTATATTGGGTATTGTATGTGTGGTAAAGTACACTCTCGCCTGGTGCACATCCTCTCACGACGGCCAGCCCCTCCGAATCTTGCTCCTCCTCGGATTCTTCACGTCGCGAAGGGTGATGGGAGGTTCGGGAGGTTCAAGTTTGGCCGGGGGGACAGACGCCTTATAAAGAGCATACATACATGGTTAATGCTTCGTTCGTCCATTCGCAATTTAGTTAGTATTGTTTTCATTTTTTCAACTTGGTTTCGTTTACATTATGTGTCATCGATTGATTGTTTTACATTCGGTTGCATTTGGATTTGGCTTTAAAAAAAAACACTCTTCTCCTCTTTCGCTATCCCCTCGCTAGCATACGCATAATTATGTACAAACGTATTCCCAAGACTCCTTCCGTTATTTACATAGATATATATCTTAGCTATATATGCATGTCGTCACTACTCCAACTCTTTACTCACTAGATTATGCGTAGTTTTGCCCACTTTTCCCCCTGGGTGCTGTGAACCCAGAAAAAGCCCGAAATCAAAATGAAATCATAGATCGCTCGAATCGAATCGAAGTATACTCATAGGATATTTTAATGATAATATCGCTATGATCCCGAATACCACACACTAAGAGAGATGCGGGCATAAATATGGGTATATGTATTTGTATATTTTACGTTGGGCGCCAGTTAACACTACTAAAGTACTGTAGTCGGTGGTAACCGCTTGCTTGTATGTAGTCTTAGGTCTTACGCACACAAACATACATGTGGATAAACATTAACAACAATTGAACAACGGTAATTACAATTGCACGACATCAACAACGTCAACAACAATGACAATGACACGCCTCGGAATTAATCAGCGACATGACATTTGTGGGTTTACGTTCTGCATTCTGCATTCCGCATTCTGAATTCCGCATTCAGCTTTCTGCTGTCAATTGAAATTCCCTTCCATTCCATTCCATAATTCGCTGATTATTCCTCCTTGGATGCATTATTATCTTTATGGGTAAACATACATATATACGAATATGTTTTGTAGTCATAAATCTATGCACATTCAATGCTAAATCAATCGAAAAAAATTGCATCCATATAGTATTTGTGTATATATGGTATACACGTATTGTATATGCGGTATATATATGTGGTATATATATATATACAACTATATCAAAAATAGGACAAATAGAACTTGAGAGTTGCCTTGGCCTTCGAAGCGGGATAAGACCCGCATTTTCCAACTACCTTCCATCTTTTTCATCCCAATCTCCTTGCACTTGGCCCGCCCCTTATTTTTTTGTTTTGTACACATTTATTGTTACATAGTTTAGATCGGTAATAGCAACGATTTAGAACAACAGTTAGGATGATGAGCAAAACGTGGACAACATTAGTTAGCTGCGACCAAGAAGGATCGCACTTGTAAATAGTTTTAATATATGTATATATATATCTTTATCTTTATGTGTAGATATTGTATATTCATATGCTTGTATAGATATAGATCAGTATTAAGTAAATCTGTAAATCTGCCGCTCTGTAGCATTATTATTATAACACACTGAAAGTGAAAGTTAACTTTGGGTTTACCTCCTTGAGACGCACGCACATGGAAATCTGAAGTCTAAAACACATTTGTCGGGCACATTGAGATACAATTATTGATAGAGTGATAATCGTAATGGTTATTGTATGTAAGTATATAGTTCCGATCCTAGATCCTACATAAACTGCAGTCCCATTCCTGCCTTTTCCTTTTCATACTCGCCCATCGCCCGTCAACAATTGACAAATTGACAAAGCCAAATGCCGCATATAGAAACACACTTGATTGATTGCAATATTGACTGATTGTTTGTTTGTTTGTTTGTTGGTTTCTTCTTCCTACTCTCCCTCCCCCTCTTTCTCTCTTTAGCTATCTCTCACTGTCTTTCTATAGCCCCCTCTGTTTGCCAATTTCTGCAATTGCGAATTTCCAATTTGAATTTCTTCGTTAATTGATTTTCAAACTTCTTCCTGGGTGGAAACTTCCCCAGCTTTTCATCCTCCTCCTCCTCTCCGCCGCCTGCTACTTTTCAGCTTTTCCACTTTTCCGCTTCTGCTTGCGTATTATTTTACGTTTAACATTAAATATTCAACGCGAACATTAATTTATATTCGATTTTCGATTTTCGTTTTCATTTCAGCTCGACTCGATTTAGTTTGGCATTTACTTGTGTTTGTGTTGTGATTTGCGATTTGCGATTTGCGCTTTACGATTTACGATTTACCATTTATCATTTACTCTTTACGATTTGTGATTTGTGATTTTTGCCTCGAGTAAGCTCAGATTGTACATACAAATTACATTTATTGTGTGGTTTACATTGATTAAAACTCTTGAGTCAGTAGACATTTACTCCTTATTCTTATGCTCCGTAGATATATATATGTATATTATATATGTTTATTCGTATATTGTAAGGTGTTTATATGCACGTAGCCGTGCTGATTTCATTGTGTGTGTATTTATTGTGATATGGTTGTGGCAACCGTTGGAGCATCTTCTTTTGCTCTGATTCACCCGATTGTTTGTGACTCGAATCGATTCGATTTGTGCATCTGCCACGGTTGCCTTTCGCATATGTCTGTGTATTCTCCACCGATGTGCCAGCATGCATGGGCACCAAAAAAAAAAATAAATACCCCATATATAGTGGGTACTTTCATCGCCAATATCTCGGCAATGCGTCAACAAGTCCTCGTTTTACTCCGTTATCCCGGGATTTACTCCTTCGCCGAGAGACCCGCTTAAATTGCTCTGCACGTAGAAAAATATTTGTATATTCTCTGCCCTTCGTATTTCTCGTTTACCTTCTCTTTACTCGTCTCGACTCGACTCGTCGTCTTTTTGGTTACAAATGGTATGCAAAATGGTATGAGAATATATATTAATATATATATTATATTATTTATCTGTATCTTTGCTTAAATAGCTTGTGAGGTCTGTTCCCTTGTCCTTTTGGGTGGAGGTAAGATGGGGTGAGGTGTTGTGTCCCAGTTATTACACTCATTCCACCGATTCCTGATTCCTGATTCCATATTTCTGATTCCTGATTTCTGATTCCTGACTCCCCTGCAGCGTTACCTTAATCTCTATCGTTTATCGCTTAACTATCTGCCTATCGATCACTGTTTATCGCTTATCGTTTCGCATTCGCCTCCGTTTCGCACTTACCATTACCGTTATGCGTAAAGTTACTTGTACCGTTAAAAGTTGCTCTCTTGTACTCTTATTGTTCGCCGTTAATCGGATTCTAGTGTTATTCACTGTTCTGTGTCTTTTTTGCAGGTGTTGTTGGGTGTTTCTGGGTACCGTGTACCTTTTGTCAGGTACAGTAGGTCACTGTGTGTGTTTAGTATTGCTGCTAAGTTCTTATTTCTCCATTTGATCCTCCATTTTGTGCTCTCTTATTGTTCGCGTCTGTAGGTATCAAATGATATCAAATCAATCGGTTTCTGTATCAACTGTCAGGTATCGATAGCTTCTGCTCCGTTATTGTTCCATAACTACAAGGTATACGGGTTGCTGTGCAGTTCTAATTTCTCATTCAGTTGCCATGCAATAATATTCTCAGTGTTTGAATTTAATGGACGTGTTTTGTGAAGCCTTTGCCTGCTGTCAATTATTATATTGTTTGTGAGTTATGTATGCAAGTGCTGCGATTATTATTATTGATTTTGATTTCGATGTTGATGTATTATTTGCATCTCCTTTTGTGTGCAAGGGCGACTTTGCTGTGCTTTTAATCTGTCATTAAGCATTTGCTTGCCTGTCTGTTATGTGATTTAATGGTGATTTTAAATAATGAATACTGCTGCTGTGCTTATTGTTCACTGGGTTGTGTAAGCCTCCAACTTCGTTCGTTTTGTTTTCGGATTTCGATAAGGATTTCTGGATCTCAGAGGTGCAAGTAGCTGGCTAAAAGTGCACAGAAAAGATTACATAACAATGTTAGGCCTACGCTTTAAATTTTACCTTATTTTTACATGTTTTAAATCAAAGCTTATAGTTACAAAAAGCAGTTGTTTTGGGAAATATTTTCGATTAAATGTATTATCTGTGGACTCCAAAAATTTGTTGTATTCAAAAAATGATTTATTTAAAGTTCACTTATTTTCTCAGTCTAAAACCTACACTAATAAAAGCAACCGTGGTAAATCCATTAATTTTATGTTCAATGTAACTATCTTCACTTTCATCCACTGCGATTTTTATTAATTTTAAATATGGAAATTTGAAATTTGCAAATGTAATTCATTTTAGGATATTTAACTTTATTATTAATATGAAATTCTTTTTATTTATATCACTGTGGACTACACAAAGAAATGAAAATCTATGACAATACCTAATCTAAATATGTCTACAATTATAAATATTTGAATTTATTTTTTAATTAAATCAATTGAATCAATTGAAAGGGCTAGTACTCAACCCAACAAAAAGTCGTCCAAAACAAAAAACTTCATATGAAAAACAATGTCAAAAAATTTGGTTTCATATTAAGTTTTTGATTTGGACGACTTTTTGTTGGGTTGAGTACTAGCCCAAACTCTGAATTAAATGTGAGGACGTGCATTTCAACTATTCCATTTTTATCAGTGTTTATAAGTATAATAAATTAATAAAGCAAAGTATAAAATAAATAAAAATAAATAAAAAAATAATATTGCCAATACAAAATTAAGCAAAAAAAAAGGATGATGTCTATAGCGTTCCTCTACTTACCGTTGTGCTGCTCTAGCCGGGACTCCACCCATTGCTTTACTTGCCTCTGCGGCCCCCGACCTATTTGACGAACAGGTCCTTGAGCGTCGCGCAAAGCGAGGCGTCGCACGTGTCCTTCGAGTCGTCCTCGTCGGCCTTGCCGAACCAGTTAAGTGTGGAGCGAACGGCACGGCCGGCCTGCGACTGAGCGGAACTGCCGGCGGAGGCTCGACTGCGACGGGCTCCGTGGGCGGGACTGCCGCTGGCGCTGCCCGACTCCTTGCCGCCGCCCCCCTTGGGCGTGGCACCGCGGGCAGCCGCCGATGTGGAGGCTCCGCTCGACGATCCAGCACCCGTTCCAGATCCACCGGCCATGCTGGCATTGGAGCTCTTGCGAAGAAATCCCTCGATGGCTGTGCCCAAAATGGTGGCATCCACCGTCGCCTTGGTCGATTCCGCCCAGGTCTTTTGCTTGCTCCTGGGCTTCAGTTTCGGCTTACCCGAATCGCCGCCCAACGGATCCTTCTTCTGCAAACGCTCCAGCACGTCCTTCGAGAGCGCCACCGCCGAACTCTTGCTGCGCACACTCTTCTTTCGCGCCAACGGAGTGTGCCGCTTGGCAAACCATCCCGTCAAGGTGGCCGATCCATTGTCCTGCACATCGCTCACCAGCTGCTTGGCATTGTTCAGCAGGGACACATCGAAGCTGTTGGAGCGCGTCGAGCGACCGGCATTGGGATCGAGCAGGCCCGCTGAGCTGCCGCTGCCGCTGCCGCTGCCGCTGCCGCTGCCGCCGACTGCCAATCCGCCCCCTGCGCCGCCGAGGGACTGCAAGCCGCTGTGTGCCGTCGGTGTGGGCGTTGCACTGGTGGCCCGTCCGCGGGCGGCCGCCTGAAAGGATTGGCTGAGAAACGGACTGCTGGCCGTGGCCGTGGCCGAGGAGCTGGCACTGGAGCTGCCGTCCCGGCCCTCCGGTTCCGGCCGGTGCATGTCCATGGCCGAGCTGGTCAACGAGCTGAATATGCCGGCGATGTCCGAACGACTGCCCAAAAGTCCGGTTCCACTGCCCGACTTCTTGCGACGCGTCGAGGCCCGAGTGTTGGAGCTCTGCTGCTGCTGTTGCTGATTTTGCGGAGGCGGCAGCTCGGAGGCGCGACGAAAGGAGCTGGCCAATCCCGGCTGAGGACACTCCGAGTAGCGTCGGTTGGTGAAGCGCCTGCCCGGCTGACCGGTGCCCGCCTCATCGACTGTCTGCACCTCGCACACCTTCTCGTTGGAGGAGGTCCAGAGCTTCAAGCGCGCCTTCCTCGACTGCAAGTAGATGTCGTCCATGATGTCCAGCTGCAGATTGTGGATGCTCCCGATGGGGTCTGTCGACGGGGGACCTGTGTTGCTCTCGCGACGTGAATTCAAAACACGACTGCTTCTGCAAAAGGCGCAAAAACAAAGCAAAAAAAAGAATGGTCCATTGTTGATTATAACTCGGTTGGGGGGGTGAGTGTTCTTTCTGGTAGCTCAGCTCAAAGGTGACTCCGTAATTAAATTCCTGGCAGCCACTGCCTTTGATTAACTCCATTGCTTTCAACAAAACATGAAATTCATATTTTTTAGCTTAGCTTAGCTTAGCTGTAATCGGACACCTGGCAATCCTTCAGAATGTCCAGTGCCCCCCGGTCAAAAATATGAATGGTCAAAGGATAAATAAACACCGGGCCACCCTTCAGGATATCCAAGCCGCAGTGAAAAATATGAATGCTCAAAGGATAAATATGCCTTTGATAATTTCACACGTCAAGAATTTAATAACAAGAAATTCCTATTATTTTGTAAAGCGTTTTTCTTAAAATCTTTGCCTTCCTGTCACAAATGCTGAGCAATTTTAAAGTAAATATGTTTGTAACCATAATAATGACATAAATAAAAGGAAGGCATATTTCTTGTATTTCTGTGGATGATTTAAATGCAAAAAAATGTGCCTAAAAATAGGCAATGGATAAAGAATAGCACTCTTCCTCTCTGAATATATAAAACTGTTGGTTAAAGCTTATATTATTGCATACTTTTAGACACCTATTTTGACATTTAAAAGTATTTTTATAAAAAGAATTTAAGTATAAAATATCATATTTGAGTTTCAATCTTTTATTAATTTTTAAGAAATAAAAGCCCACCTGCTTCTGACTTTATTGACTCTTCTTTGTTTTCTAGATCTTAAAGTTAAGATAATAAAATGCAATAATAAAAAAATCTAAAAATTATATAGCAAATATTATGTCGATCTTCTTGATAAGGAATAGCCGTCTTGCTCTATGAATTTATATCACTTTTGGGTAAAACTTATAATATTGCATACTTTTAGACACCTATTTTGGAATTTAATTTACAAGTGATTTTAAGAGCCCACCTGCTTATGATTTTATTCTAACTTCTCTTAGAATCGTAGATCTCAAAGTTAAGATATTGAAATGCAGTAATATAAAAATCTTAAAGTGATATAGAAATATCGAGTGAATAAATAGGGATAATAGATCATAATAGGATAGATAGATCACTCACCCATTGTTGCTGGGATATGCGGCCACGGACTCGCGACGCGATCTTCCGAATATGGTGGTGGGCACCTTGGAGATGGTCACCACCGAGTGACGTCGTCCGGTGGGCGCCGGAGCCTGCGAGAGGGTGGCCAGGAAGGCGGCCTCCTTGGGCGTCGGCCCCGAGCCCTCGCCGCCGCGCTCCGATAGTCGTCGCACCTGGCTGGCCGTGATGCCGTCGGTCACCTGCTGCGAGGGCAGCGAGTGCTTGCGGGCCTCCCGGGGATCGCGCCACGGCGACAGCAGATACGGATTTACGGGCGAATCGATGTCCAGGCTGCCGCGATTCGAGACCGTCGGCTCGGAGCTGTCCTCCTGCTCCTCGGGCAGGTTGGACTCCTCCACCACAATCAGGGGCTCCGGAGCGCCGATGCCATGGGATCCCATTGGCTGTGGGCGCTGCGGATGCTGCGGATGCTGGGGGTGTGGCGGTGGGCGGGGATGACCCGGTCCGGTTGACTGGCCCGTGAAGCGGGCAAATGGCGAACCACGGAAGCGTAGCGCATCTGGGGAGTTCAAACGTTAGTTGTAAGTCCAAAGATTTTATAAAATTATTTTTGACGTAAAATGTTAGAAGTAAATATGACTAACATCGTATCTGAATTGATTCAAATATAACATATATATTACTTGAATTTCTGACATCTTTTTGCAGATTTTTGTTTTTCTTTATATTCAATTTTTTTAGGGTTTGGAGAGTAACCGCAGTTAAGATTTAAAAATCGACTCGAAACTAGGTAAACTTCGTTTTGGGATATGATACAATTTACAGTTTTAAATTTCAATTTTGAATTAAGTATTTTAGGTATGGATAAACGGACTTTAAAAGCAAAACAACCATTTAACAAAAATTACGCATTTACTGAATTTTTTGTAAATACCAAATGCTAACTCTTTAAACATTTTTAAATATATATTTTGATATTTACTGTTTTCTAATAAGTTCCTTTATATTTTGTACATCCTTGTCTTTACCTATAGTAATGTCAAGGACATAAAAGTGAAAGGGGCTAAGGAGATATTGCCTTTATAAATAAAGTTTGAATCTTCAAGTCACTACAATATTTTAGAACTCAAAATAACAAGAGATAAAGCAGCACAGAATAATAGCTTGAAAATTATCGATATTTTCGACATGTTCACATTATCGATACGATAATATCTCATTCTAAATATCGAGAAAAAGCAAACTGTAGGTATTTTTTTAAGCTCTATCAAAAATTCCACCTTGTAGGCACTATAAAATATTAACAATGTCAGGTGCAACAACAGGTGCAAAATAGCCGTTGTGCTGTGCGATGGGCGATGGGCGATAGGCGAAGAAGAGGTGTCCGGTTTGCTCGAGTGGTTCATTAGTGGCTCGTCGGCCTGTCACTTACCCATTTTGCACAATTGCTCAATTGCTCGCCAGCGGGGAATTCGCTGCTGACTGTCTTCGGGGTCTACGGACAATCGGCTCCCGACTCCTCCACTCCGTTGTTCTCTGTTCTCTGTCCTCTATCCTTTGAAGTGTCCTTGCTGCAAAGAAGAGCACGGAAGACGTCCAATAAGCGATACATAAACACAATATACGTATAGCGAATATAGAGCAAGATGCATTCGGAATGCTCTTATGGGATCAAGAAAATAAAGACGTATTGGGATTTCAGAAGAAATTGTTGGTTTCATACTTTATGAATATCACATTTCCTTGTACCTTTCACCCTTTGGAGTATATGCCTAGAAATCCCGTTTAACCTAGGCTCTTGATGCAAGATTATATCGATTGGCATTGCATAGCTGATAATTTCAAGGACTCTGAACGCCAAATTAATTACTTCATCTCTAATAGTCTGTGAATATTTAGAGCGCTTTTTCCCGCTGCGCACTCGAATTTCCAGATACACCATCGCACATGATGTGCCCCTGAGAGCCCGAAGGGTATTACGTCCAGCTATCCAGGCAGCTCATGTGCGAATCCTTCACGTGTGTGTGCCCCACTGTGTGGCAGGTTAAATAAAGCCGGGGTTTGGGGTTTGGGGTTTGGGGCTACTAGCTACTCGCTCCTCTTCCTGCCTCATTATCCCCGGCCACAAATTGCAAATGGCAGCAAAATCATGCATCAAAGTAATTAAAGCCACTGTCCAGGGACTTTTCGCTTCGCTGGAGATGACTGCCCTTCTGGTCTCCGTTCTCTGGGTCTCTGGGCTCCCTGCCATAATAAGCATAAAATTATGCAAAAGTTGAAATGAAATTTCGCCATAACTCAGATGCCACAGGAGTTTGTATTTCGCAGCGGCGGTTGCCTTTGCCGATTGGATAGCGATGGCGATGGAGTTTAAGCCGCAACCTCAACTGTTTGAGTTGCCAGGAGTAATGGCAACTTTTCACTTTTCCTTTGAAGCGACTAATGATGATTTCAGATCTGATGCCCAAACGGAAGTGATCGGTGAGAAGCTTTTATTTGATCATCTCGAGCATTTCCACCTTAACCACTGGACTGCGGTCGGCGGACAAGCTCAAATTTGATTTGATTACCTGCATAGCCATCCGTTTCCCCATCCGCAAACGCAATCCGCAATTCGCAGTCCGCATCGCAATCGCTGCAACTTGGGCAGCTGAAAGTCGCAAGTCGCAGGCCGCAAGTCTCAAATCGCAGGTCCAAAGTCCCGAGTTCCGAGTCCCGAGTCGCAAGTTCATTAAGCTTGTAAATTGGCAATCAACACCAAAGTTGCGGCTTTGTGTTGGAGCTAATTAGCCTGTCTATGCCACTGACAGGACCGCCGATGTCCTCCCGCCTTCCCCCCCTGCAATTACCCTTCCGGAAAATGCTTCACGCTCTTATTGTCCGCTGCTGAGGTGACTTGGAAAAGCTGGAAAAATATTAAGCTAGTTGAACAAACTAGCGAACCAACTAATTATTAAAACAAAAATAAGGGCTGCTTTAAACTTTCCATCCTGAAAATTCGGGGCTTTTCGGCAAACCGCACGGCCTCTCATTTTGGAGAAAGGAATTCCTTTCTGGGGTTCATTTCGTGCGCACTGCAGTCAGTTGTGCTCCTTTATTGCATGTCCTTTTTGACATTTTTCCTCCTGCCCCCACTCATTTTGCGGTTTCACCGGCCGTCTATATTGGGCATTGTGGCCCAATGTGCAGTTAATGCTGGGAAATACCAGAGTTTCCCCCCTTCCCTTCCCTTTACATTATGTTCTTTTGAGAAATACGGACAGGAGGCAGAGGTTTGGATTTGATCAAATTATGCCAGGCAAAAAGGAATACTGACTGTAAATGTAACTGCAACCAGAGCATAATTAAGTGGGCAAACTAAAAACTTGATCAAAATAGAGCCTCGCTTTTTCTCGTTTTGAAGGGAAATAAAATGGCATTTCAATTGATTCTCAGCCAGCATCTACATTTCCATTTGCCTGGCCCAATGTGATGTGTGTATTTGGTTAGTTGATTTGAGTTGCCACACATTTTCAACGCCACTCTGCCACTCCCCCCAATTTTGTGGGTGATTGATTGACTCGGCACCGGTCAGGCGGTCAGATGGTTAGGCGGAAAGGGGACAATGGCCACCCAACCAGATCGAGATGCCGAGTCGAGTCGAGTCGAGTTGAGAGAGAGCAGAGACCGATTGACAGATTGACGCAGTGACAGTGACTGTGTGTCCCACTGTCCACCTCTTCAGGGTCCCTGTTCGGGCGCCACGCTCAATTTCAGCTTAGCTTTGTTTAATGGACTTGCACAAAAAAGTTTACAAAGCACTTTACACTGGTTGGAATTGGAGTGGGAGTAGGGAGTGGAAATAGGATCCGTTGGCAAAAAGGATATCCATCAGTCGCAATCTAACATTGCATATTAATGGGCATTAACATTCGTCATTGAAACGGGGTCCTGTTAATTGTCCTGGGTCATGTTTATACTTTTAGAGAGAAAGAGAGTTTATATCACCGCCACTTTACGTTGAGTTCCTTGGGTTCTTTCGGCCCCACTTAAGTGGCGTTAAGTAGTTTGGGTCTGGGTTCTCTCTATCCCCCTGATTTTCCATTTTCTGAAGAGACATTTTTAGAATCCTCCCCTCCATCCCAACTCCTCATCCTCCCTCGCAAGTGGCCGGGCCGACTACTGAGGTGGACATTTGAAAAGCCAAAGGTTAGGGGTTAAACCGCATATGGCCACTGGCATTCGCATTCACATTCACATTCAGCATCCAGCATTCGCATCACCATAAGTTCCTGATTCAGATCCATATTCGCATTCAGATTCAAATGCTCGGGGAAAAATGTTTGTTCTCTGTGCGTGCAACTTTCTCCATTTTTTTCCGTCCGATTATCATCAAGTTTGAGGGTATATCGGATATGTTATCAACGTCTCTTGTGCCATAAGTTTTTCAAACACTTTGGGATAGTTGAACCTTCAAAAAAAACCTTTGAATACCATTACAAAAATGTCCAATTAATGTGTTTTAATTACAATTGAATTGATGTTTTTTTCTAAGGGGTATTTATAGGTCCATCATCTCCGTCTTGAGCCGCTGAAGTAGTCAAAGAACTCCTTGTGCAGGCTTATGTGGAGTGCGGATGGGGACTCCGTAGAGGAACAGCATGATTGCGGCTTTCTTGGCTGACTTTGACATGCAGTCTTGCAGTTAGCAGCAGTTGCACCTGGCAACGGAAGTGCACACATGGCCACCCCTTACCCATCTCTCCCACCCTTCAAAAATACGTTTGTGGTAGCTTCGGTGCCACTTTAACATCGTAGAGTATGGCATCAGGATCCTCCTTCCTGAGTTTGATTTGGGGTAAGGATAAGGTACGGTTGGTCGGGACATCGGATGAGGCAATTAAGTGGTCAGGGATTCAGGAATGGAGTGGCGTTTTGAATATTCCCATGGCTACTAAGGTAGAGTTTGAAAATAACACATATTTTCGATATTTTCACCATCTCGTTTCGATAATATCGATGATTTCAATGGACAACAAATATTAAAATTCGATAAATATTAAAATGTCGATATATTTATCACTTTGAAATGTTCGAACAGGAAAAAAAACCATTATAAAAATATCCTGACATTTTTTAAGGGCAAATTGAAGATTGAACGATAAATTTTTATACAGTTTTACATATTTATTTTTACTTTTGAAAAACTACTTGGAAACAGAGCTAGAAATACTAATATACTTTATAGAGTCTGAAATGTATCCTCTAAAATTTACCTTAAATATATATTAATTTTAAAATTTTCAATGGTGAAAAATCCACCTTAACATATAAAATTATCTTAATAATTTTAATATGTGTATTTGTTTTTGTTAAAACTTTAAATCGTCGTTACATTTAGGGTATTCAGTGGAACAGCCAGTGAATGATGTGTCCATTTCCTACACTCATAGAAATTTTTACCTAAATACTAGAAAAGTCGCCCTAAAACCGAGGTCGCCCTAAAACTACGAAAAATTTTCTTATTATACGGGTGGCTAGCCCTAAATATACGAAAAATCGCCATGGAAAATATTTTTTAGGGTTAGTTTTTTCAAAAAGGCCAATTTGCCCTACTTTTTAGGGCGAATTTTTATGAGTCGACTCCAAAAGTAATTCCTTCTTTTTAGGGCGAAATCGCCCTAAAACGTTGAACAAAATAGCAAAAAAAATGTTCTGAAATTGCCCTAAAAACAAGGAATAGTCAAACGAAATTTTAAGACGCAATTAATGGATACATATGTAATACATGTGTGTATGTGTGTGTGGTTGACAGGTCAAAACAAGCGAATGTGTGTGTATATTAGGGCGGACCTTTTTCTATGAATTTTGATGCTGAGCGCATTTGACTTTAGAGAAGTCCACCCTTTTTCTTCTTCTTTGCTACTTTTCGTCCGCTGCAGTGGCAAGGGTGGGGGTAGAAAGAGTTGCATTGTCTAGACTTTGTCATAATTTTTCGGGCGCTTGGAAGTGAATGACGTGTTTTTGAGTAACTATTTGTTTGTGAGAAAGTAAAAAAATGGAAACGGTATTAAAAGACTTGGGAGGCGATTCTTTCTCTGTTTTCTGGTGAGTACATACATATATAATTGTGCAATTTGGATATTAATAACTAATTGAATTTACATATCTGTAACAGAGGAAAATGCAGCTGAAACTTAAAAGATTTGACTGGAAGCAGAGTTTTCGAAGTGTGGCAGAACAAAGTAAGAACATTAATAAGAGTATACATATATGTATGTGTATATGTAAATAATGCTTGAGGCAAAAAGATGATGCAACAGAATACACACATGTGTACAGATGTATATATTTACCAGAAATCTGTGTTTATGCACTGGACAAACCGCATTCACAAGTGCATATGCCTAAATAACCCCAAAATTTGTATTGCGTCATTTCGTCAGTAACCGAAATTTGCTTTTGTTGCTTCTTTTTTTCCAGAAGTAGCAGCAAACGCAATCGCAGGCTAAATAAAAATTCTGACTGTTAGTAGTGCATTTTTATATTAATTTCTAACAATTTTTTTTCTTGTTATACCCGTTACTCGTAGAGTAAAAGGGTATACTAGATTCGTGCAAAAGTATGTAACATCTAGAAGGAAGCGTTTCCGACCCCATAAAGTATATATATTCTTGATCAGGGTCACTAGCCGAGTCGATCTAGCCATGTCCGTCTGTCCGTCTGTCCGTCTGTCCGTCTGTCCGTCTGTCCGTCTGTCTGTCTGTCCGTCTGTATGAACGCTGAGATCTCAGAAACTACAAAAGCTAGAAGGTTGAGATTTCCCACACATATTCTTTGGCTTCCTACGCAGCGCAAGTTTATTTTAGCCGAGCGCCACGCCCCCTCTAACGCCCACAATCGCCCACTAACGATTTTAAAATGGGTGCTGCGCCCACATCTTTAAAGATTTCCGAGAAGTATAAATGCAATTTTGTTGTGTATATTTATACCTATCGAAATGTAGAAGACATTTTTCAAATCGGACCATTCATTAAAAAGTTATACGCTTTATAAATTGTCATACATATATCTATCTCCCACGCACTCCCTTTAGCTGAGTTACGATTATTAGTCGGCACACCAACTTGACACAGCGTTCGCACTCCCTTTAGCTGAGTGACGGGTATTAGATAGTCGGGACACCAACCCGACTATAGCGTTCTCTCTTGTTTTAGATTGAGAACGTCTTTGAGATCCAGCTTCCGCAAACCACTTTTCGCACTTGTTAAAAGCGAAAGTAAGGGAATAAAACTGCTCAAATCTTTGGAAAGCCACGCTGAAGGTATGTGCTTTTTCTCTTTTTCTTTTCTCATTCAATAAATAGACTGTTTTTATTTAATAGAGATACAATCAACTTTAATTTGGCTTGCGATCCATTCAGTGTTGGTGCGACAGCAATGACAAAAAAGGACGGCGGGAGCAAGAACGCGAAGCACACCATTGCGGACCCGCGAAGCCGTTTCTTGGTTTGGAAGGCTACTGTTGGGGAACTGCAAACACATCTAAAGGCATTGACGGAAAATTGCTAATCTGGAAAGCCGAAACTGCAACCATTCAGCTGCAACGTGGGAACAAGCCCTTTTTGACCTTGGTGAATTTCCAGTTTACCTATCAGAGGTTTTTTTATAGAATGCGAACCTTATTGAAAAGTATTGATGTGTGCTTCAAAATATTTTTTGTTTTAAACCACGACATTAATCCAAAAAATGTTTTATGAAATTCATTTAGAGTCTGATAAGAAAGGTAAAGCTTTATCCGAACTCTTGAAGGATTATAAAACCTTAAAACTGTAACTATTTTAAAAAAACAATCTGTTCATCCAAAAAAAAAAATATTATTTCTATGCATTTAATTAGAAGTAAAATTTTATAATCAGTACTTATTGTAATAAACCTTAAAAGACCTAAAATTCCCTCCGGCGGAAGCACACAACCTAAAGACCAAAAAATACATTAAGCCAAAACATTATTTTTAAGATCGATGTAATTCTTTTAGCAATAAGAATAAGAAGAAAAGTATGTAAATGTATATAATTAGAAATTGTGTAAATATCAACAAACAAAAATATAAAAAAAAAAAAAAAAATATAATGAAATTGTATTTTTATTTATGAAAAATGGCCGTGAAATTTTGGGGAGCATTTTGCATATTTTAGGGCAATTCGCCTATAAATCCAGAGAAAAAGCCCTAGATTTATGAAAATCTGCCTTTAGTTTTAGGATATTTTTCCTTATTTCTAGGGCAATTCGCCCTAAAATCCAGAAAAACACCCTAGATTTATAAAAAACTGCCTTTAGTTTAAAGGTATTTTTTCCGATTTCCAGGGCAATTCGCCTATAAGTCCAGAAAAATCGCCTTGGATTTAAAGGAAACTGCCTTTAGTTTGAGGGTCTCATTTCCTTTTTTTAGGGCAATTACCTTTGAAAATAGAAAAATCGCCCTAGATCTACGAAAAAACGCCCTAAATGTGTGACAAATTCACCCGTGTTTTTAGGGCAATTTGCCCTAATTTTGTTGCCTAGTCGCCATTGACCCCCGTTTTAGGGTGATTTTCCTTGTTTTTAGGGCGATTTTACCGGAAAATTTCTATGAGTGTATGAGCAATTTAAAATGTTCTCGAAACTGCGTAACTTCCGCTTCCTTCCTAACCTTTTGTCAGCCCTTCCTTTCTTCCTTTCCTTTTGCCTTTTGGCCGTGGAGACCCAAGTGACAAGCTTGTTTATGACATGCAACGAAAATGCGGCCAGGATATGGATGTGGATGTGGATGCGGCCATGGACAAGGAATCGTAGTGGCTCCAAATCGGAATAGAAATCGGTCTTGGTCATGGTCATGGCCCTGCCATTGATGGCCATCAACCCCCCCTGAAACACCCACCCCTGCTCAAAGGGATGCAACGCTTGTGCAACGGTTCCTCGGAGCTTCCGCTTTTGGTTCTTGATTTTGATTTTGATTTTGCCAACCCCCCGGGGAGCTTTGATAACATTGTATACTATTTCTTTTTTTTTTACATATTTTCCCTCTCTTTGTTATTCGGCAATTTACAACTAAAAAGTTGCAAAGGATGTGTGTTCTCTGTCTGTCTGTGTGGGAGGCGGGGGTTTTGTTGCATAATACATTAACGCGGCTAGCGGAAAAAGGAAATGTCACACATTTGCTGCCGCTGGCAACATTGTGGCAGCAGCCGAGCTGCCGGCCAGGAAGCGAAGCGAAAATAGCAATCAAAACTTAACTGAATTGCAGCACATGACATCCCCATCCCCATCCGCATCCCACTCCTCAAACCCCCTACGCCTCTACGCCCATGGCCCATCACCTACAAAGTTGGTTGAGCGAATTAAAACATAAATGCATTTGCAGCAGGCCAAGATGAACGATGAACAGTGGGCGGGCGTTTACTCCTAATCGAATCGAACCCAAGTGGACCGAAGTGGAAATGCTAGAAAATTTGCGTTGCCCTGGAAAATGTGCAGAAAAAAAGCGAGCAAAAAAAAGGACGAAAAAGAAGGAGGCAAGAAAAAAGCAAGCTGTAAAACTGTAAACTGTTACGCCCACTGCCCATTACCGCCCCCTCTATCTGTGTGCGTGTGTATGTGTATGTCGTCTTCCTCTTTTATGGAACCATACAAATTCGTTGGCCATTGAACGAGACCGAAGAGTCCTGCCAGCTTTTGCTCCTCCTGCTCCTGCTCCTCCTTCGAGCTCCAAGCTCCGAGCTTCGAGCTCTGTCTGCTCTGCTCTGCTCTGCTCTTGCCTTGCTTCCAATTGAATCAAATTGAATTCAATTGAATTCGCATGTTGCTCATTGAATTGCACAGATTATGGCTAAAATACAATTTTAATTTCACAGAAAAAAAGTATTTCGAAATGCTTCGTCGCTTTTTTTCCTCCCTGTCTTTCTTTCTGTCTGTCTGTCCATTCCATTTGCTTTCGCTTTCGATACCCTGTAGCTATGTATTTTAAATACCTATCAGCAGTAAGCTTTGTTTAAAAATGTTTAGAAATAACAATGCCATATATGTATTTATAATATTTGGGCTCACAACCCATAGCAGGATTATTTGGTATACATTTGAACGAAGTAGGTTGACTGTTTTGGGTTCTGGGTTAATTCTTAAAATTTTTAGGTAAATATTATATATGTATATACAAGATTTATAGCAGACAAATGCAAAAGAAAGAAATAAAAAATTGTTGCTTTCACATTTCAATTCGCTTCTTTTCTTTATTTCCTAAATTTATATATTTCCTTTGGATTTTTATGTCAAGCCTGGGTGACCTTAGCTACTTCCCGTTTTTTTTTAAAGAGAGTCTTATAGGTTAAAAAAAAAACTAATTTACTCCAAAGTCGGTCTGTTGATTGGCCTATGAAAAATAACAGTGAACTTTCCTGTTTTGGGACCCAAAAGGGTACTGCCAACTTCGAACTCCGAACTTGAACCATCTTTCCGGCTGCGCTGTTAATTAAATGTTGTCAGGTAATTAAAATGCAGCTGGCACAAATGGCTGGAGTGGCGGAGTGGTGAAGTGGAGGAGCCGTGTAAGCTGCTTACTGGCCTCTAACAAAGCCACAAACGATTCGGGAACTAAGCCGGCAGTTCGGTAGTTGGGAAACGCGAGTTCTGGTACGAGAAAAACAGAGCAGAACGGAACTGAACAGAACAGGTGCAATGGATCCGTATCCTCATCCAGATCCTCCAGTTGCATTCATTCATTGTCCAAAAGAGAGAACTCCTGCACCGGGGAACAAAGGCTCTGGGTAATATTTTACCAGGCTAATCCCAAAAGAGTCCAGGCATTTTTGCATTGTTTTACGGTACACACACAACACAATGGGGCGACCGACCGCCGGGTGCTTAGAAAGTCGGATTTGACATCTAGTTTTTGATTGAATGGATTTTCGCATTTAATTGAATTTGGTTTCGATGTGTAGTCACATCGCATGCCGCAGCCAGTTAGGCCAAAATGCGATACGAAAAGGCTGGAAAGGAATACTTAACCGCAACCACATGATTATCCCCCAAACCAAATTTTCTTTTTTTTTTTTGCTTTTTCATTCCAGACCCAATTTTCCCCTCGATGCGAAATATCAGCGAAATGTGCAAAACTAATTAGCTTAGATAACATGGCGCACAACAAAACATCCAGAGAGTCGGAAAATAGCGGGCGTCTGAGCGAGCGAGACAGACAGCAAGGGGGAAAGAGAGGCAAGAGGTGGCGAAAATGTTGCACAAAATTGGGCGCCAGTGAAAGTGCAGTGAAAACTTCTGACAAGTAACAGAGTGCGCTGAAGTGGGCGAAAGTTATTAAGAACCGAGCTGAAAGCCCATCACATGTACCCACAGTCGTTTATGCGTAAGTCATAATGCCCAGTTAATTTGCGAAATAAAAAAAGCGGGTATCATTTAAATTAATATCATTGTCTAGTAATAGACTAGACTAATGTAATTGTTTTTGGTGAATTTAAATTGTAATTTTGTTTAAATAGGGCACTAACTATAATGTTGAACAACTTTAAAATATTTATTTTTAAAATTTTATTTACAAATATTAAATGTTATGTGGGAAAAAGTAGCTTATACTAGTTTGTTATACTAAACTAATAGCAGATATAGATATATAATCCCATGGCTTTCCTAGAAACCACCAATAAAGGTGTCTAAAAGTATGCAACAATATATATTCAATCGGGAAGTTGGAATTTTTTACAAATATTTAATGTTAGGTGTTTAAAAGTACTTTATCCTAATTTATTATACCAAACTTTTACTAAACTATTAGCAGATATAGATATATAATCTCAAGGCTTTCCTAAAAACCACCTATAAATATGTCTAAAAGTATGCAACAATATATATTCAATCGGTATGTCGGATGAAAAATATCCTCTTTCTACAGCCTACTTTATAAGAAATTTCTTTGCCGAATCTCTGGGGATCTGTGTAACAGCTGTCGCATAAACGTTGTAACAGAGTGCACGAAATCTCCCTTGAACTGGGCTCATGTTGCCGAAATGTAATACCCAGCCGATATTGCATTATTAAACGGGCACTTAGCCGCCCAATGAGAGCGGCCAACCGGCAGTTATGCAGTTATTAAATAGCGCCGATTATCAGATATTTGGCGAGAGGCCCAGAGGGGCAGTCAAAAACAAGTTTTGCGGGAATAATTAAGGCGGTCGATTGTGTAAAAGGGCCCGCAATTTGTTAATTATTTTTCGTGCAATTTTTATTTTCCTGTTTTCTGTTTTTTCGCGATTGCAACGGGCAAATGAACACGAAACGCAATTACCCAGGAGGCAAAAACAAAAGGCTGAGCACAGGACATTCGCATGTTTCGCAATTGCACACACACAGGGGGGATTAAGTATTCATAGAATCATTGGGAAATAATCAGCAGAGAAACATGCATGATTTATCATTCATAATGCTCGGTCACTCCACCAATCGCCAGTCGCCACTCCCCATAGCCATTAATTAATTGTTTATTTAACAGAATTGTCCCGCAATTAATGCAGCTATCCACCTGGTACGCAGGCACCAGAAACCAGAAACCGGAAGCGGAAACGGAAAGGGGGTTGGGACCACCACACGGCTTCCGGCTCATCAGCTGCGGCGGATGTGGGTGCGCTGCGCCTTTGGATTTGATTTGTTTGTCTAATTAAACATTTACTGGGAAATCCCCTTAATAACGGAGCCGATTATCCATTCATCCTCTCTCCCATTTTCCTTTGATCCAACGTTCAAAAGTTGAAAGTTCGAGTGGAAAACTTTGGGCCGGCAATCAATACAATTATTGTTGTGCAAATACCCACATAAAATCACATAATTATGTCTCTACTTCGGTTTAGAGTGGACCTTGTTTCCCAAAAAAAGAATACAATTAAAACTATCTCTGCTTTAAATGCACTTCATCAAATTGAAACATTTAATATGGCAAATAACGTATTTACCTTTGTATAATATTAACCTCCGTGTCGCATAAACTTTTTCCGTGTAAGCAAAACAAATAAATAATAATAGAAAATGTCCTCTGTCTCGGAGCGAGGACATCCCTCTAAAGCATTTCGCCCCTGACCAACTCAAACAGCCATTGGGGAGGTGGATAGAAAGAGGGTGGCAAGGAGGAGAAAGCGTTTTCCAGCACACTCTCAATTGTTTGTGGTGCGTAAACATAAATAAATTGTTGAATATTGCTCGACTTGGTCCTTGGAGAGGCTCCACCCCGCTTTCACTCCCATTTCACCATGGCCATGGCCTTCACCCAGCCTCCCCCTTAAATCCCCCCTACCCCCAACGCCCCTTCGACTCCTCCTTGATGTGCTTTTAATGATTTATGGCAGAATGCAAACAACCAAACGGAGCTGGGGCTGAAACGCAGAAAAAATTCAAAAAAAGAAGAGAAAAACAAGAGGGAACGTTATAGTCGGGTGCCCCGACTATCAGATACCCGTTACTCAGGTAAAGGGAGTGCGAGGGAGATGGAGATAGAGATAGAAAACGTTGATCACGCATAACTTTTTAACGAATGGTCCGATTTGAAAAATTTCTTCTACATTTCGATAGGTATTGATAAACACAATAAAACTGCATTTTTACTTTTCCAAAATATTAAAATTTTTAAAATCGTATATAAGCGATGGTGGGCGTTAGAGGGGGCGTGGCACCATTTTGAAACAAACTTGCGCTGCGTAGGAATTCCTAGAATCTGCATGCAAAATGCCAATCTTCTAGCTTCTATAGTTTCCGAGATCTCAGCGTTCATACGGACAGACGGACAGACAGACAGACGGACAGACGGACAGACGGACATGGCTAGATCGACTCGGCTAGTGATCCTGATCAAGAATATATATACTTTATGGGGTCGGAAACGCTTCCTTCTACCTGTTACATACTTTTGCACGAATCTAGTATACCCTTTTACTCTACGAGTAACGGGTATAAATACTGAAAATAACCCAGCTACAAAGCGAAAGCAAAGTCTATACATTCTGTGGTTTCCAGAATACCCCCAACCCCATTCCAAGCCCCCCGAGACCGCAAGTTTACTCAATTTGATTTGCTGCCCTTGCCCGGCTCTCACGATTATTGTTATTAATTTTGCGAAAGAATTTTCGGCTCTGCGGCATTAATAAGAAATGAGAGGAGCCCAATCGATAGTTGTTGGTGGCCCGTGGCCCGTGGCAAAAGCACAAAGTTTACCCCGAGGGACACACACAACCGAAAGAAAGAAGCCAAAAGATCGCTTTAATTTCGGCCCAAAACTTGAGCACTTAATTTTATGTCCAGAGTGATAAGTTTGAAGCCATGGAACAAAAAAATGAGACACCACAGCAAAAGTATTCTCGGAAAAACCAATTAAGAAGCCACCAACATGATTTAATCTCTCAAAGCACCTTAAATATTGGGTACAAAGTAAATTCAAATGAAATGTTAGACGTTACGCAAGTTATGAATAATTTAAATGGGATTTCTTAAGAATTAAATGTCAAAACTTGATAAACACATATTTTTCTATATAATTTTGCACTGATATTTAATGTTAGTTAAATAGATCCTCAACTAACCAAAGCAATTTGAGTATCCTTGGATAATCTTTCAGGACAATACCTATAATATGGACAAAAAAATATTTTTTAGTATTTTTTTATATTTTGTAAAGTTGATTTTAAATTGTGTTTTTGTAATACTATAAAAGCTTTTGTAAGAGCTATAAAAGCTTTTTTACTCTGTCACTGATTTTAAAGTTAAAGTCAAAGAACTGTCACGTCCGACATCCTGGATATGCCTATATTTATTTTGAAGTTAGTAGCTTAAACAATTTAAGAACATTTAAATTTTAATTAAATCAATAGTTTTAAGGTAGTATTTAAGGTATTTTAACAACATTTAAATTTTAGTAAAAAGTGTCACAAAATCTTACCTAAACATTAAAAGTTACTTATAATATTTTCAATTCAAATTTTTGTTAAACGTGTCAAAAAATCGTACTTAAATTATTATTATTTGTCCTTCGAAAATACTTTGCCCAAGAGTTAACTTTTTTTTAAAACAGTGTTAATTTCAATAACGTATACACAAACATTCCTTTTTATAAAATGTATTTTATGTGTTTTTTGGGTTTTCTTTTCTTTTTTTGCCGGAAACTGGATTTTATTTGGAAAGGTCGAAATTGTTGTGACAAAAGTTATGCCAGCGAGAAATACTTGGCCTGCATTTTGCAATTAAAACAAAAATGTGTAACGATTGTCGGACATTATGAAAGTGCGACCCCTTAAAACCCCCTCAAAAACGCCCCTTCTACTATTTTTCAGTGCTCTCTGTGCACTTGGCAGCGGCCCCAAGTGGACATAAATTCCACTTGAACTCATTCCTCGTCTCGCTTGCTTTCATTAGCTTGGAGCCTTGGGGCTGCCCAGAGGCATTCCCCATCCTGCTGTCCTCCTCCCTTATATATCCCTACCCCCCACCCCCCTGGGAGGTTCTACGCCCCTTGTGGACACCCCACTTGAAATAGGGGGTGCAAAAATGAAACATTATGATGACAGTCGCGCTCGTGTGTGTGTGTGCGTGTGTTGGTGTGCAAAAATTGAAATTGAGAATGGCAAAATAATGAATTGTAAATTGCTTCGACACACACGCACGCATACGCACACACATGTAAGTATATTAATTTATTTATTATGCTGCGCAATAAAATCAAATAAAAATGGCTCCCCAGCAGCTTTTACCCATCCCAATCCACATCCCCGTTTTCCCTTTTGCAGCACTCTGGAAAAATTGAAAAACTAAAATCGATTTCCGCTTGACAAATAACTTAAGTGGCAGTTTATACATGCACACACGAGTGGCGAGTGGAGAAAATTGTGAGAGCTGAGCAGAGAGTTAAAAAACAGAAAAAATATTCCACACGATTAATTTTTGCGATCCATTAAAAAAGATTTACTCAAATTGACAGAATCATCGTTGTGGAGGCTGCCGAAAAGCCGAAAGCCAGCAGGAGCAGAGGAGCAAGTGAGTGTCCTTGTGCACAGCACATAGCATTGCCCACGGCCTTCTGGGCAGAAGCCACCCCGAAACCACCCCCGAAAAATCCAGCGAGTGTCTCAATTTGCATGCCATAAGCTGGATGGCCCAGAGGGGGCGTGGCACGCTGGGGAATAGTAAGGGGCGGGGGTTGGCGTAAAAAAGGGGGCACATTAAATGCATGTAATCATAAATTCACACTCATTAAGAGATTTGGCGAGCAGTCAGCCAACAATGAACAGCAACAGCGATGGCAATGGCGACGGCGATGGCGACAACGACGACGACGGGCGGAGTAATCGCAAATTGAATTTATCCCAGAATGGGATCACAGCGATTTGGATACCCTGTATGTGCTACTTTGGCAAAATGTGGGGTATATGTACCAGGGGCTTAGTGAAAGTCAAAATTAAATTAAAAAGCTTGATATGTAACGATGATCGATTTGATCTTATGTGGTGTCGAATTTGACTTGATATGCGGGAGTATACAGGGTATCACTTACGGGCGACTACACATCCTCCCGGACTTCAGACCTTTTTATTGCGCCTCTCCTTTTTTTTTGGGTGTGTGGGGGTTCATTTTAAGTTTGCATGTGTGAGTGCCAAAAGCAGACCCAAAACGCACACAACTACGCACTGTGGAAAGACCACAAAAGCTCTCACACACACGCACACTGGCACAAAACCCACGTATGCTTTACCCTTTCAACGCCATCAACCCCTCGACCACCCCCTCACCCTCCCCTCCCCTCCCCTCCCCGACCACTTTACTCGCGCCGCATTAGTATAAAATGTAAATTAAGTTAATGGTAATAAAGTGTCTATTATGTAAGCAAAACTCACTCAGACACGCACAGACACGCACACACATGTGTTTGGTTTCCCTGGCTCTGTCTCTTTCTCTCTCTTTCTGTCTCTCTCACTTTTCACTATCTCTATCTCTCCATCTCGCTCTAACTGCATTTGTACAAACGAAAATATTTTAAGTGATTTTGAATTAGGGCACTCCAACATAAAAGCGAAAGAGAGGGAGAGAGAGAGAGAGAAAGGAAATGACCAAATAGTTATTGATAGTTAATTATGCACTTATCGATAAATGTCAACGATTAGACTAGGCATCGAATGCAAATGATGGGCAGAACAAAGGGGCGGGGTTGTGTAAACAGAGCGTGTGAAAATCGCACAATTAACGTTTCATTAAACCAATTGAATAACTGAGCCTTTGATTGGCGTGGCAACTTGAGCATCTGTTTCAACGGCTTGTGGGTGAAAAGTGCGGAAAACAGGGAAAACCAGCAGTAGGTCGCAATCTTTAATTAATCAGACACTAGAGACGATTGAACCCCCGAGTTTTAATGCCAACCCAAAGATCAGAAGCCCTGCTTATGCCCTTAACAAGGAATTATGGCCACATTAAGCATGGAAAGCCGCTTAATCCCAAGAAATCAAATTAAGAAAATTCGAAATGCACAAGAGCGAAGAATTAAATACACTTTTTGGTCGCTAGGATGCTACCAGTGGCGGATCTAGGACTTGGTTGCATGCTTTTTGAATACCCAACTTTCTACCAGAGTGCCTCCCATTTAAGCAACTATATTTTCATGAAAAAACTTTATTTAAACCTTTATATCAAATTAAGATGGCCAAAAACCCCTGGGGGCTTGAACTTCAAGATTTATTCAAGGTGATTACAGTACATTTGACTAACCAAGAAAATAGTTGCCATAGCCAAAGTTCTAATCAGCATTTGGGCCAAAAACTCCCGAAACACCAGCAGCATCTTGACAGCCTGACAAATTGACAAACTGACGGGGGGGAAAAGGCGGGGAAAAATGGGGGAAAATGGGGTCGAGTGAAAGGAAGCTGCTCGCACAGACGCATAACTTTTAAGGGCCCCACAAAAACACGGCCATTACATGTGGCCACCATGGCTGCCAAGGCCCGAAGCCATCAATAAAAGCACAGCACACAACTGGCAGCGCTTTAGGCCACATTAAAAAGCGTTGGTTGGACATAAACTGGCCAAAAATCGCACAATTAACCGAGAGCCCAGAGAGCCGCGCTTGGCCATTAAACGACCATTAAGGCGAAGTTTCTTTCGGGTAGCAGGTGTATGTGAAGGGGGGGATGCAGAACCCAGGAGATGGGGGTTGCGTTGAGATATAAGGGTGATGACTGGTTCCCGACAGATAAGCCGCCCCGGGTCTAAGCCCTCGAAATAAATTGGGAAATTGTGTTTGGGGCGACGAGGGGCTGTTATAATCCCATTGCTTTCTCCTTTCTTTCCCCGACGAAAGCTACCTTGATCTTGATGCCAATTTGATGTTTGGCATTGGCAAGGCGGCAACTACGGAAAATGGCACAAAACGCAGCTGCAGCCGGAGTCCTTGACCCAGATGCGTGTGTGTGCAGCAAGGACGACGCCTCGACTGTTGCAATGTCGATTCGAGCGCAAAAATCTCTGCTCTTTTTCACCGTGTTTCTCTGCGGATAATTACGTAAATCTGTTTAAGCTTATTAAGGGGAATACAGGACCTCGTGACCCCTGAAAATACGGAACGTGGCAGGCAGAAAGCCAACTAGCCAGTGGCGTAGCCAGGAGTTACTTGAGGGGGGATGGTTTTTATTAAAAATGTTGAGTACCATAGTTATGAAAACCATATCTTCCATAGTATTTCACCCGAGGTTTAAAACCCCCCCTTTATCTACGCCTCTGCAACTAGGAAATGTAAAGGAATCTCCCCCTTGAAAACAGATTGCAACATTTTCCCTGCCACTTGTTGGGCGCCAAGAGGCAAACAGAGACTACCCCTCCGCTCTCAAGTGACTTGCCGAGTGGCAGGGAGGACCAAAAGGACACCGGGACACCGAGACACATAATTGGAAACCTCCCTTCCCCATCGACACCCA